TCAAGCCGCTATAATAAACTAAGAAATAAAAGTTAAGAAATGTAACGAAAAATGAACAGAATCAAAGGACAGGCAGAAAGAAAATTGGAATAAAGACAGTCCATAAAGCTCGCAAAATCCAGCAGCGTACAATCGAGATACCGCCGCGCGGTGGGCACCGGAGAGGAAAAGAAGTCAAATCGATTTACTTTCATTTCATGTTTATATGGCGACGTTCTCTTATAATTCCAATTTTTCAACCACTATCACAAAACTGATTTGACGTCTCTTTTGAAATCTCGCGCGAAACGAACGAGCGAAGAATAAAAGAAAATTGTCACGTTTTCACAAAAATCCCTGAGGCTACAGTGGAGCTAACTGCCATCTTTTTACTTTAATAATTCATTCATTCATTCACTCAGAAATTGTAAAATGGCTTTGAATGATTTCCTACAATTTTAGAATTTATTTTCTTGGTAATTGTAATAGTAATAGTAATAATCTCAGGACAATTCACACAGCGCCATTCTAGCTGAGCTTGTGTTATGGGTACTGTCATACATATACATAGATATTTTTTTTTGTAAATACATACATATTATACATAGAAAACACCCAGACCGATACAAACAATCATATTTACAAATGTTTGTGCTTCGAAATCAAAATATCTTTATTCCTTAATTTTTCTTCGAAATCAAAATATCTTTATTCACATAGGTCTATTACAGACTCTTAAGATATGTCAAATCCAACGTCAATTCGCTTTCCAACTGAGATGAAATGACAAGAAACTCAGCTCGTATTCTTTTCAAATAAGTTTGTACATGTTTACAATCTTGAAAGTGATATTTCAGCATCTTAGTCTAAACCTTAGAATTATGGTTTAGGGTTAGATACCGACAGATTGAATTGGATACCTTGAGGAAGTTTGTTGTAACGCAACGAACATTTATATATACAATTTTATATTTCTCTGCTTATATTATTATTAGTATTAATATGAATCTGATTCTAGTAACACCTTAATATATATAGGTTTGTTAGAAGCAATGCGGTGTACTAAATAGCTAGATCACTGATGCCCCTAATTAAAATGAAAAATTTATTTCAATTTAAATATGTACCGTCTTTGTATTCATTACATTCATAAAATACTCATCAAAAGCGAAACTTTTATTATAGTTTTATCTCACACAAATTTATTTAGTATAGTCCTTCTGATGGATGGCATCCTTAGCACAAGATGCCAATTAAACTTGTTCGAGTGCCATAATATTGTTCGCATAAATCCAGGACATTCAATAGCAAAACTAAATTGGTATTAAACAAGATGGATTGTTACCGAGTTGTGACAGCCCTAGCTCAATTCCAAGCTCCGGGAATATTTGGGTCGCCCGGAGTGAGCTACACATGATAAATGCGCCGCAAAATGAACCCATATGTAGCGCGGCTGGAGTCTGGAGGACTGTTGCCGTTCTTAGACAAACTCAAACTCAAAGGCATTTATTCAGGTAGCACTTTTTAGCCACTTTAAGTTAATTTTCCATTTTTTTACTGAGATATTTTAACCAGTGTTTAGGTTTGTATATTATTTTTTATTTCTACCGTTATTCTTTAATAAATAAATAGGGCTAGTCGTATGTACCAAACTAAAAACCAAGAAACAAAGTGGATATCCACAAAATAAATTTTGTATTTTTTATCCTGAATTGAGCATGTGATTGCGCAGTTTGTTTGTAGGTTTTTAAAAATGTTTTCAATTTTGCACTAAGTTTCTTTTAAAAAATACGCAGCATAATCAGTGGCACAACTTTATAATTAGTATATTTTGAGTAACGGGCCTAAAAAGTATACTACTCAAAATAAAACTTAATACTTTCATCATTATCATCATCATTTCAGCCCGGAAGACGCCCACGGCTGAACAAAGGCCTCCCACAAATATCTCCACGACGATCGGTCCTGCGCTGCTCGCATCCAACGCCTTCCAGCGATCTTGAACAGATTGTCAGTCCATCTTCATAGCTTATAAGATTACTACTACATTAAAAATTATCGTATCATCTAATAAAGTTATTTTCATATTTCGAACAGCAAAAAAATAAAAATATTAATCCAATCAACCGTAATGATTTTAATTCACATTTGACCCTTTACGACTAACCAAGCACATGTTTGTTTTTTGAATAATATTTCAAATGTTATTAGAACTTTTTTCTGGAAACTTCGTTATTTTATAATAGGTCATTTTTGTTCCATATATTTTCGTCGGGCATAATGGTACTTATTTAGTTGCGAATATAAACTACGCGAAAAAATTTACAGAACGGTTAGGCCCTAACAACTTCTTTTTTCGAACTATTTGAATGCTGTTGTCCGCAGCGGGCCTTTGCAGCTTCATCGAACTATAGGGAGTGCAGATGGAATTCCAAACCTGCGGAAGAACCTATGCAGCGTCTGAAGGCCTAAAAAGCGTCTGAGGCTAAAGTATCCATCAGGCAGGAGTTAATGCAACTCCTGCCTGAAGGATACGACTTTAGTCTTAGAGCACCGCTAGGGGTTCGAACTTCGGCTCAGGCTATCGTTATTTCGATCCTCGTTTGAATTTGGATTGGAGGAGTCCCTAAAGACGCAAACAGTAGCCTGTATAAATTTTTCTATTTAAACAAGATTGACAATTCATTTCCTAACAAAACACATTGATCGACACTCGGATATTGTGTGTCTGTCACTAAAACAATGAACGTTACTTCAATACATTGTCACAGAGGTACCGGAAATATCAAATGCCACGTGTATTGCTTAAAATAGAAGGAATGGTGATAAAACTGGTATTGTAATGTTCGCGTGGCGTATAAATAAAACCATATCGTTAGGAATTCATGAATGAATGATATCTGAATAAATTGAATGAAAAATGAGAAAGATTCTTTTTTCAGTAAACATATTGAATGTTTACTTAAAAAAGAATAATAGATATAGATATTTATATTATATATATCTGGTGCAATTTTATTAGGAATAGCGATGTCAAAAAATAATTAATTATGTAAAAATCGATTGTTATGATCCATTAAGTTGATCATCTAATAATCCGTTCTAATAGTTTATGAGGGCTATTTACAGACTAAAACTGTATGTTTTTTTTTAAATTATGGAATTTCATAGAGCAGCATTGCAGTAAGTAATATAAGGTTTTGTTTGACATCTGTATAAATATAAACAACTGTCAAATATGGCAAGTGACACAAAGTACTACATTGAACATATTAAATACAAATACATATAAATTAGATAATAGGAGAAAATATCTGGTTTCTAAACTGTAAGTAACTCAGAAATAGATATTTCTGCCGATAGCAGCTTACTGTCAGTGGTGTAAAAGAAAGGTAGGTGTAAAGACCTACCTTTCTTTTACATTATAGTGTAAAAAAAATCAAATCCAAAGTAATTTGGTTTTTTTTTACCACAGTGAAACATAGAACCCATCTACTGGTAACATGGACAGGGCTTGTCACGTTCACGATGCCTACTCTTACAAAACCTTAATATACCCTTCTTAAAAAACCCATACTGTCTCTAGAGACAACCTCGGCTGGTAGTTCAAACTGAATGTATGCGGGAAGAGAGTTCTCTGAAAACGTATTGTTTGTGACCACTTAAGCTCTGAAATAAAGGATGAATTCCCTGTCGATGTCATGTATTGACAGCTTTTAGATGTCATCACAAAGACAGTGTTTATTAAAAAATAAAATATTTAATTTAATAATAGTTTAATAAAAACTATAATATAAAATATTCGAAATTTAAATTCACAATTTTTAATTTATATCGGACTTTATTGTTTCTTATTACTTTCTCTACCGTCCAGTACGGCTAGCTACTTCAATTGAGAAGGACTGGCAAGAAACTATTGATATTTTAGAAACTATTGTACTAGGAATGAACGGCCTATCATATGGTAAGCGGTAGCCGTCACCTGTACACAGTATAAGAATATAGTTATGTTATCATGTGACACCAATGATGAGTGGGTCATTATAATTTATTTTTAAATTACCATAAAATAAAGTTATTAATGAAGCAAAGTGCGACACCGAAATTAATATAGTATTATTTTATCTGTAACGCAGTGACCTAGAGGTTAATCTAACTATTGATTCGGGAATTGTGTTCGCTTGGACATGAGTATTCATTTGAGATGTCGGCAGGGTTTATGAAAGGACTGATATTACTGTATATAACCGACCTAAAAGTAACCAATCCAAAAGTTGACCCAATCGATTGAGTGCCAAATCATGTTGAGCGCAGGCTCTTAAAATTAATGACTCCTTTGAAATGCTCAAATGAACTTGCATTATTCCGAGGCAGGTCAATTGAAAATGAATAATAATTGTATATCGATTGTCCGATTTTTCTCAAGAACAACGTGAAAGTAAAATATTTTTTTTATTTATTGACTAGCTTCTGCTTTCGACTTGGGAGGCAGGGTAATGATATGGGACTTGAAGGTCCCATTGCTAGCAATGCAATATGACCGGTCGACATCTATGCGATCCGCTCTGGACACTAACGTGCCTAAGTCTCTTTAATTTATCAGGATGGAATCACTGTCATAACTTTAATGCTCATACTTCTACAGATGGCCTCGGTGGTCTAGCGGTTTAGGACAACGCTATACTTCCGATAGTCGCGGGTTCGATTTCTCGTACTGTGCAAAAATTTGTAATCATGAGTATGATTATTTGTATCGGTCTGGGTGTTTTCTATGTATATTATATATGTATTTACAAAAAATCTAAGTATTTATATCAATTGTCTAGTACCCATAACACAAGCTCTGCTTACCATGGGACTAGATGTCGCTGTGTTAATTGTCCAGGCTTTATTTATTTATTTATTAAACCTAGTATGCTGAAAATACTATAAATGCTTTTGAAGTAGTCAAGTTGTATAATAATATTGTATAAAAAATAATTTATTTAGCATTTTTAACAATTCTGCGTATTTTGTTTCAGAGCCAACTGTGGGATGAGTGTGAACTAGAGGACGCTACCTTCGCAGAGTGCAGCATCAGTAACGCCCATAACAGCTTCCAAGTAAGAATAAACATTTGTATCAGCAATCAATCCATTACAGCAATAGAAAGAACATAGACATTCGTGTCCTCTGTAACTTATTTATCAATCCATAATAATAAAATGTGATGTTGTAATTATAAATACAGTCTCTATTGCTTTAATTATTGTTCTGAGTAAGTCATGTTCCGACCATATACAGATAAAAAAAATCGACTGCGCTCCATTGCTACCAACACTTACAAAAAGTAAGTTGATAATTGCTCTGTGGTTGACGCAAGTCATAGGTATACCATAGTATAAGTTGGTTCTCACTACATTTTTTGTTGTTACTCTAGATAATGGTGTTTCTTTTACATTACCAATTACGCAATAAAATATGATGACATGACTATATTTCGCCGCCAAATAATTGTACTTAAATTTTCGCGGTAAAATTCAAAAACGTACATTCTAATTTCGAAAGCTAATAATGTAATAATTTGTTGTAATAAAATATAATATGACATGACTATATTTCATCGCCAAAGAATGGTACTATAATTTTGGCGGCAGAATCGAAAAACGTACATTCCAATTTCGAAAGCTAATAACGTAATAATTTGTAAATAGAAATTACTGTTTTTTTTTGTTTTCTGTTTGTCTAAAATGTAATTAGTGTTTTCTTTTTTTATCCCTTAATTGGTAGGCTCCGTTGTACGCTGTATAATGCCAAACCCGTAATCAATTAGCGTGGCGGACCGCGTTGTCTGATCCGACCGCGAAACCACCGCGACGTGACCCGAATGACTGCGACCTTCCAACACAGGGGTCACCAGATCAGGGGTAGCGTGAACTTTTAACTGAATAAGCATACCATTTATAAGCAGAGACCATTTATAATTCCTATTTTACATCCTATATACGGTTATGTCGATTATTCTAATATTATTTTAGAATAAGTTTTTATGAGACTACCAACATAAAACTAATCCGTTTCGATTAGCAAAATCGATTAATATAACGTTAGCGATAATATCCTGTTAACGACAAATTAAAGTGGAATTCAATATTTCATTATGACAAGTCGGTTGAAAAATGCAATTGATTTTTTTGTATTATATTTATTTATCTCTATATACTTACTTACTCCTACAGCTACCTAAGACTAATAATAATATAATCCGAAGACAATTAACACAGCTAGGTACATTTAATAAGCTAAGAAAAGCTTGTGTTATGAGTATTAGACAACTGATAGAAATACATTCTTATATGGATACTTAATTTTTTTTTCTTGATCATGAGGAAGCGAACCCGCGTCTGTAGGTAGTTAAGCGGTGTGCTAAACCACTAAAGCACCGATGCCGCCACTTTATACATATCATACATAATACTCAACCTCGGCGATAGTACTTACTATTTCCTATATTTATTCCAACCTATATGTTATTCTGACATATAAGCTATATCACTATACGTGAAAGAGTAACAAACCATTAATACTCATAAACTTTCGCGTTTATAATATTAGTAAGGATATGCAATGCTTCCGGAGATTACCCGCCATATACATACAAACTCATTATCACGCCATTTCGAGTCACAATTATCAAATAAGACGTAGCAACATTTTGCCTCAAATTAAACTCCTTAATGTACGTACTTTAATATGAGTTTTGACTTTATAAATAAGATTACTTTGGTCTGCTTCATTTAACTTGTGTACTCCACGGGAGCAAGTTCCATCTCCATGGCTTATTAAGATCCCGCTTGAAAGGTATTAGTCGAAGTTCGAATAACTTTATAAGTAGTTGGACTTATTGATAAATCTGTGATGGTCAAGTTCGTTGCACTATAAATGTTTAATACAAGCTTTGTCCTGACCACAGATAAGATAATTCTATGTCCTTGCTGACCTTTGTGTGACTGGACTGGACAAAACAAAATACTGGCATAAATGTAGCCAATGACCAAGGTTAGTCTCGAACACAGACGAGAGACAGTCTGGAAAATATTATATCCTTCTCTTATGTTTTCTAGATTAAAAATTATTAAGAACGTAGCCTGTGTTCACTATTATATAATCTAAAAAAAACAAACAAAAAAATATGGATAGAAACTAATAGGTAAGTTTAAACTGGAAATCAAAAAAATCCTCTTGCTTTATATAGATTAAAAAAAAAATTGTGATACAGGAATTTGGCTGACATCATCATCTAAAAATTAAAAAGAAATACTGGATAATACCAATGCGAAATTAGGTCTGGAAAATAAAACTCTCTCTCTCTTTTATAAATTAATAAAACGCAGGGATTTCACTCTTCTATCATTTTGCACAAAACAAAAGCAATATTAGCATAAACTAATGATAAATTGAAAATGAGAGCTCTCTCATAAACTCTCTCCCGCTTGTTTTACACATTAAAAAAAAGATTAAATGCGTAGTGCTGAATATTCATTATTCTGTGATAATCTAACAAAACAAAACCATGCTCTCTCTGTCTCTCTCTCGTTTTATAGATTAAAAAATAGATAAAAACGTAATACACTGTTCTATGATCATCTTCAAAACATACTGTTATAAACATAAGACCGAGATTAATATGGAAAAAGCAAGAACAAGCGTAGGTAGGAGATATACTCGCACATCCAACCAACACATAAGTTGGAAGGAATGTACGTATGCCATACTAAAACTTCCTAATCTTGTTAATCCATTATGAGCTACGTTGACACGCCATCACATCTCATCCACAATTTGCGGTTAATTTTCGTGTAGGTATACTTATTCTGCGTGGCCTTTGTTCTACTTTCACAATTTAGTTACAAACTACCTACTCAACTTATATTGGACTAAGTATTTCGCGCGAATTTTCACGCAACACAAATATATCACATTAGTGACCCACCCTTGCTTCACCCGGTGTTATATACACGTCATATAAGCACTAAATTATACGTCTACGGGAAGAAATTCTCGAAATGAAAGTGTGGAAGTACTAAGTGGAGAAACAGATACATAGAAATAGCGACATTAACTTAATTTACATTAATTTTATTCTCCCTGAGCCGGTATGAAGTACATTAAATTATGGATTATCAATTAAGGATAAGATGTCACGATAGTTAAAATTTTAAACGAAAACGTTCTCAGCCATGATCATTGTGACTTTTTTATTAATAATCTTTTTTTAATATATGGAAAAATTTTCACAAAGTTTCTCCACCAGCGAGGAAAGCGAATGCGAAGTGAAATACCACTTGAAAATCATACAGTGAACCCTCCAGGCACTAATGCCGGAGTTACCGAGCCATAGAGTGGCATGAACTTTTCACAAACTATCACTTCTCACTTTTACACCCAAAATTAGAAACTTTAATGTTTAATTGATAGATTTTACTATATTCGGAAACAAAAAGGTTTAGTAAAACCAGTTGATATTTTAGTCAAAAAGTTTTGTGTGAATATGTTTTTCTTGTTACATTAAGGTAAGAATTACTTAGAAAGAGATATGATATGAGAAATTTTGTAGATATATCTAGTCTATATTAGAGCAGAAATTTGTATCTTTAATTACCAGTATTTCCAGAACGTAGTCAGGTAAATAGGTCGAGATTAATCACAGCATCCAATCAACGCTAATGGCCACTAATTATATCAGAGTATCCAAAATAGCCAATTCAATGAGTCGTAATGGAATTCATATTACATTTGCAATTCATTTAACTGAGAAAGACTGAAACTTACATACGTACGTACATATTCTCCCTAAAATATATTTATTAGAAAGAAACTGACCTATGTAATCTAATGATGTCTATTTGTCTTTTTAGAAAATAGAGAATAAAATTAACTTGTTTTTGCAACATTTTTCTTTGATGCTCCGCTTTTATTAATCGTAACGTGTTTTTGTATAACCTATGGTCTTAGGGCTAAAAAAAGGCTATCCAGCACTAAAAGTATTTTTCAATTCGGACCAGTAGTTCCTCAGTTATCGAGTTCAACCAAAAACACTAACTCTTCAGATTTACAGTTCTTCTTATTTTACATTTCCTTTCCGAATGAATAGTAGAATAATAAAAATACTATTCCAAAGTTCTTATATTAAGTCTATTTTAATAAAGATTATTTCTATTTGTTTACCCACTTTATTGGGCTCGTCTAATTTTATAACATTAAAACTATCTGCCCTGGACAAACTGTCGGATAGAATCCAAATTGTCGATTTGGACAATTTTTCCCCTGTGATAAACTTCATCATGTTCCTCAACGTAATTTGAGTGCCACCTCTACCTCTTTTGTGATCATTGCATTGTTTCCTTAATTTAATTATATCATAACGATATCTATCCTAAACATTCTCTACTATTTATATGATATTATCGATGGCTGTATAAATGCTTATTACTAGTTCTTATAGCTTAATAACGGAATCAAGTTAACTATCTTATCTCTCCTCATAAAATGTACTATTATGTAATATTACATCGTCGATATTAAACTTAATTCCAGCACTGTAAAACATTATGTATAAATTTTACAATATACTACGAAAATGTATTATAGTTCGTGAAACTTAAATAGAGAAACGAAAAACAATTCATGATACAAAGGCCACTTGAAACGCCATCTCGTGGAGTATTTGCGTACCAGTATGCCAATATCTAATACAAACAACTGAAGTATCTTTATATGATTTAGAGTATTACTCTGTCATAAAGAGCAACTTGTAGCGTTGCGTGGATCTATTGTGCTCGCCATTTTTTAGAGTTCGTTGCCTAGACCACCTTGGAAATGGATCAAATATTTGTCAATGACGGATTGACAATAATTGCAGTTTATTCTTAGGAGCGATGGTTTTTATTACACATTTCCAATTTGTTTGATACATCTTCAAGATATACGAAGTATGTATAAGACAATATGCAAAAATTGTTTATGTTACAGGACAAGGTGATGTAGTATAGATCCTTGGATTTGGTAGTCGTAAATTGGTTACTTAATTGTTAACCCAACACAGTTTATACAACTACAGTCT